ACATATTATAGAGACTGCTGTAGGGACTAAAATGCCTACATTCAAGAAACCTTTTCCTATCACAATTCTTTTCCCTTCCGAATTTTGAGCAATGCAAGATTTTTACTGGATTCATACAATTGCCAACACAAGAAATGTTGATTTTTTTTCCCTTGCAACGCAGTTGTTGCCCTGGCCAATTTCATTTAGTTATTATTTAATATATTTTATTCTGCTTCCATACTTAGTAGCGTACACTTCCGGTATGCCGGGCAGAATCACTTTCTGAGAGATAGGTGGCCATGAACACTTTTTTAGTTTATTAAGTTTATATGCCACCCATCCCACTATCCAAAGAAACTCTGGGCACTTAAAATAGATGGGTAGATAAATGATGATGATGATGATGATGGAGGAGGAGAGAGAGAGAGAAAGAGAGGTGGGAAGGGAGGGAGAGAGGGACTATTTCTCAATCTATCACCTTACCATAAAAATGGCCAAAATAAGATCAGTAAGAAAAAGGTAGAAACAGATTGATTGGAAAGGTGGTGGAAGGGAAAACTCTTCCATCATTGATACAGGAAAGAGAGAGGTCTATAACAAGTGCTGAAGGTCTCTTGACCAGTCTCCGGAGGAGATGGTGCCAAAGTGCAGGTGGCCACAAGGAGGCTTGTCTGTAAGAACGAGAGTTCTCTGATGACTTCAGTGATCCATACGTTTGTAATGGTGATGAGTGGCTTGTTCAGATTTTTTTAGTTTCTTATATATCAAAAATGGTGCCTTGAATCTGACATAATAGCACCTTGGCAGCCAATTCTGTGGTTGCTTCAGTTATGCACATAGCTGGATGCACCACTCAATACCTTGACCACTGCATTATCCAACAGCTGAAGCTCCTGGACCCAGTCCAAGGAAAATACCTTCATTTAAAATACTGATTTGCTGACATAACATCTGACAAAATCAAGATACAATGATAATATTCTACCTCCTTCTGATGGGGTGAAGAGAAAGTCATTCCGTGTATTTTCCAAGTACTCTTTGAGGTCAACTTCATCATTTTGATTATGGTGGCTTAAAAACAAAGGACATTGAATGGGATCCAGTGCTATCTGTCGTCTGATGAAAACATGTTCACTAGTAGAAAGGATTCCTCCTTTTCTTTTTACAGCACCTTCCAACATAGCTCATAAATCTCTTGCAGATGTGAAGGATTCTCCATAACACATTTGGATTGATCAGAAGGAAGGAGAACTAGGGGAAATCACCTTGTATAATATTGGCTATATCCTTAATAACCAGCTTCTCTGCATTTCTTTTTGGGGTGTTTGAGGCTTTGTATGCTGCTAGAGCTATAGCAATATTGAAGAACAGCTGTAATTTCCTCTTCTGCACCCGGCATAATAAACTGTAATACATTCTGTTGCAGATTCTTCTTATATTTGGAGGCATTGCTATATAGCTAGACCAGTGATTCTAACCGTCAGAGATATATCAGCCATTGCCCCATCTTTGCTTTTAACATAAGAACTTGCCGATATTGTTTCTATCAAAATGCCATTTAAAGAAGTTATTTAATGCTAAAAAGTAGCAGCAATGATTGTAGTCATGTTCCGTGAATGTTATATGGCTAAAATGTTCTCAGTCCAATATACAATCCATTTATCATACTTCTTGGGAGTTTATTTATTTTTATTTTATCTGTTAAATTTATTTGCTGCCTATCTCACCGTAGGGATACTCTAGGCAGCTTACAGTAATAAAAAGGAAGGACAATGGAAGGCATGCAAACAGAAGTAAAATAATAGAACAATAAAATAAGCAATGACAAAGTAACCCTACAAGAATAAATACATCAATACGATAACAAAAAAAGATAGCAGAAGAACAGAGTTGGAAGGTCTTCTAGTCCAACCTCCTGATCAAGCAGGAAAGCCAACTGGTTGCCAGTCTCTTCTTAAAAACTTCCAATGTTGGAGCACCTGCAACTGCTGGAGGCAAGTTGTTCTACTGATTGATGGGTGGAGGACAGAGAGCAATCTGCCATCAATCCAACAGCCTCCTCCAGGGTGGAACTCCACCGTTTGGCCCCATTTAAGGAATTCTGGGGTTTGCAGTTCCAATAACTGGGTTTGGGAGGGACTGACTTTTGGAGTGTCAAGTTTATTAGGACGAATTCCACACTTCTACACGAGTCGCAGGTAAACTTGGAAAAAAGGAAAGGAAACCTTTGCAAGCCAGAATATTTAGCATTAAGGGGAGAGTAGGAAAACAGTTATGTCTTTAAGAAAACCCAAGTGATGTTGATTCTGGTGTCCCAGACTTATACATTGTGGGAAACGATGTCATCTTACTTGGAGTCCATTTTCTATCCTTGAGTTTCCATTCTTCCATTAGTGTGGTGATTGTGTGGCCCATTTCCTCCCTGTGCGTATGAGCAAAGGCTTCTGTGGTGCTGCTTCTGTGATGCTGGTGCTGCTGCTTCACTCCCCCTTGGTGTCAAGACAGGGCCTCTGTCCCAAAGGCTTTGCTTTCTGTCTCAACACTTTTTCTCTCCCCTCCCTTTCCCCCCCTCTTTCTCTCCCTCTCTTTCTCCCCATCCTTCCTCCAATCCTCCTTACTGCCTGTCTCTCTCGCCTTTCCCTCTTCTGTAAATTTCTGTAAGGTAAGCAAACTTTTTGTTGAGTTCTGGCCTTTGATATAATAACTACCAATGGTGGTGACTGGACTTAATGTGGGACCAAGGGGATTATAAGACTGGGATTCAGAAGCAGATGGAGTCATCTTCTTCCGCAGAGGCTGCTCCATCTGACATCAGTACCTTCCATCAGTAGATCCATAATAGATTGTAACTTGGTTTCTTTTACTGCAAACTATACATTCAACTCAGTGGTGGGATTCAAATAATTTAACAACCAGTTCTCTGCCCTAATGACCAGCTGGGTAGGCGGGGCTCAGTGGTCATGTGACTGGGTGGGTGAGGCCAACTCACCGTCACTCAGGTTGATGGGCGCTTCACCTTAGCTGTTATAATGTAATAAGGGTTAACTGGAGAGGCAGTTTCTGTTAGCAGGGCAATAAAGATTAAGCTAGAAACAACACCAGAATGTTTCCTTCCTGCCTTCCTTACAGGATTAGCCCTGTAAAGTGGGGAAAAAAACAAAAATGAGATTTCTTCCAACAACCCGTTCTCCGAACTGGTTAGAAAGTTAAAAACCGGTTCTCCCGAATAGGTGTGAACTGGCTGAATCCCACCACTGATTCAACTGTACAAATTACCTGTTTTTTTGCCCAGATGCAACGCAATAGTCATCAATTGTCCAATCCCTAGAAGATTCTCATGGCATTGTTGATTCCCTGAAGTTCTCTTAATCAGGATCCAAATAACGGACAACCAAGTTTCTATTCACTTTAGTTTTAATCCGTACCACACTTGCTCTTATCACTCTTCTTAATCCCACTCCCAGCCTTGCCATGCATTTCATTTCAGTTCAGCTTTTTCCCCCCCATATCACACTTGGGTCTCTCCTCAGCCAAATAATAGCAACAAGAAGCAATTACAAAAACAAAAACCGACCATGCAATGGCCAAGAAATCCATATTCTCTGAATGACATACTCCAACCTGACATAAGAAGCCACTACTGTAATCATTGAATTTTTGAGGATTATCAATATCTCATGAGTTGTAGGTGGAAATGAAATGATTCACCATTTACATGGAAATCCCAATTACAGAGAAAAAAAAGACCGATACTATATTGGGCGTAATAAGGTCACAATCTTAACACATGGGAAAATAATGCAGCTTGCTTAATGGACTGTAATAGAGTTGCTTCAGTAAAGAAGCAGATGTGACTTGCTTAGAAATCAGAATATGAGCTCCAACCTTGTTTCGAAGATAAAAATTGTTGCTAGGAGCAGAATTGTACAGCTTGGTTGGCGAGAGTCAGCTTGGGTTACAGCTCATGTTTAAGAATTTGGAAATTCTCAGTGTGAAAGGAGAGAGCCTATTTGTGTAGTGGCTAAGGCACCAGGCTATAAACTGGAGACTGTGAGTTCTAGTCCCATGTTGGACTAACTTTGGACTAGTTACTCTATCTTAGCCTTAGGAAAGAGGCAATGGCACACCACTCCCAAAAATCTTGCCAAGAAGACTTCAAGGACTAATCCAGACAGTCTACCAGGTATCAACACTGACTTGTAGGCATCCCTAAATGGGAAACTACTGGGGGATGCTAGAACCATGGGACTAGGTTGCATCATGATGGTGATAATATCATCTTAGAAGATGATCGATTGTTGCCAAGATAGTTATAGGGGCATCTCCAAGATTCAAGGTTGTCTTGAAGATTTACCTAGTACAAGAAAGACTGATACTCCTTATTTCAAAAAGAAAAGAACCTGTATGCAATTCTGTTGAAAATATCTAGCATTTTCATTGCAAATGTCAGTGTCTCTAAAATGAGTAGGTACTTAGGAATAGGTCTTGGAGCTATTAGCCCAAAAGAATTAATATTCAAGAAGAAGCTGTCCATGTTCTTCTGCAAGTTCAGCTAAGGGGGAGAAGGAATTTCTCCATGGAAGGATCCTGTCCCACTTTATTCAGACTACTGCTTTGTTAAACAGAACACTGCTGTACAGAGACACCCTCCTTGTGGTTTTTGGGCACAGTTTGGACAAAGTAATGTGTGCCCAAGCCAAGCAAATGGCAGTTTGAGAAACAACAGTGACTAAAATGCCATTGAGCAAAGCTTCCACTCTTTTGTATTATTGCAGACCCATTACCGACTTCCCTGCTTTTGGGAGGTTGCCTGTTTGTGAAACTTATTCATCTGTAGGTTTACTTCTGGCTTGGAGATGTTGGGGCTTAGCCATTGTTCTCAAGTCGCCTTTTAGTAGTTGGATGGGGAAACACTGGGGGTTTGTGGGGAGGAGGGAAGGACTATTTAGACAGTGCAAAGTATTTCTCAAGACACCAAGACAGTTGCCACTAAAATCTCTTCTTCCCTCCTTATGCAGCAGCTAAAAGTTTACTGAATAAGAAAGCGGACGGCGTGAAGGTAAATATATTTCTGGCTTTTGTGGGACATTCCATGAAAAAGAAAAACCGGGGGAAAGATTTGCGCTTGTGCTGTATTAATGGGAGAGATTGTTCTGCTCTAAGCCCACAATCGTTTTCAGAAACTCAATTAGCAAAGTAGCTAAATAGTAGAAATGAGAGTACTCTTCTATACTCCACGTTAAAACCTTCTGAACAGCGGTGAGAGGGGAGCTCATTCTCTTCCAAAGCTTTATCTGTACGTAATTGCTATGTAAATCATGAAGTGATGCAATCTTTATGGGTTTAAATAGACTTGATATGGATTATCTGAATAAAAAGTGCTTTGTGTTCATTTTTTTCATTGACGAAAATGTGTATGTTTGATACAGCCTCAGACAAACAGCACCAAAAGCAGCGCCGGAGTTACCAGCCCAAAAGGGACCCTTCCTCCAGCTGCACTGGTACAGTTTCCCTTCTATTTTTCTTTCTGTTTTTATAAACAAAATTGGGACACTGATTTCCCTGTGGTTTTGCAGTTATAATTTCTCTTTAATGCTTGCTGATACGACTATACATTATTTAAGGACTTCAACTCTATGTTCTGTCTCTAACTGATACTGTTGGGAATCCCTAAATTGTTTCATGCTATTCTTGCTCCATTGTTCAGAATTGACAGTTCAGAATTTTTTCATGGTCCTCCTGCTTATCCTCCATATATATATATAAAGTCACAACCCCTGGTATGCCCAAATATGGGAGGAAGGTCACACTTCCACTCTCTGTCTTCGGCTCGTCACAAGAGACCATTCAGACAGAAACCCAATATTTTTTTTTACTGTTGCCTTTTTTTTACATTTGTTATATTTATGCTGATAAATAAATAAAGGGTATGGCTA